AATATTATTATTATAATTAAATAAAATTACTCAATTGTTCTTACATATCACATCCATTTTAATTCATTATCCATCCACTCATATAATTTTAATGGATCATCACTTCACGTTGTTTCTTTCATTCTTTTACGTCAAATCAATTTTAATTAATTTACTTTAAATATTATTTTAATATAAACTTAAAAACTAACCATATCACTTTTTGTTCAAAATTAACCAAATCACACCTCAAAAATTCAAACAAAATCAAAACTTCTTATATTCAAGCATTCCCTAAGCCGGTCCAATATAAGAGTACTTTTTTTTTTTTTTTTCTCATTCAAATGTAGATATGATTTTTATGTTCAATAAAGTGATGGTTAATGATGTCTTATGGGTCATGCGCGACACCTAATCAAAATAAAGTGATACTACCATTTTTCTTTTCCGGAGTTGTATTTAAATTTTGGCTTCTTAATAACATACACTAATAAGTAATAACAGAATGAGTATTTTGGAGTTCGCCAAGCTCATTTAAAATTCGTTTAGTTAACGCTCGACTTGATAAGGCTCAAACTCGAACTTGAGCACCCTAAACTCGAGTTCGACTCGGCTCGTTTACAGACATACCTATTATTGCCTTAATGTTTCATTTAACATTTCGGTGTTTTTTGCCTCAATTTCAATTTGTAATATAGTCCTCTTTGAAATATTACATGTTTCTCCCTAAAACCAAAGTTGGTACATTGTCTTCTCATGAATGAAACACGCGTATTCCTTTCACGGGACAAGCGAAAAAGGGAGAAAAATCGAGAATAAATTGAAAAGTGCGAGAGTAGTTTTTGTCGTTTAACTTGCTCAATTATTTGCATGTGTTTGTTCTTTGTTGTGTTATATTTCGGGTCAAATGTTTTCGGCCCAGCCCGAAGTGTGGATATTTGGATCCTTTTTGCACGCTTGATCCTATTGTATACTTTGACTAAATGGGTCAACCCGATTTGTTTCGTGCCCCTTTTTGTGCTATTAAAAGTTCAAAACTATTCTACTATTCTTTTAAGATAATTGTTTCATGAGGAAAAAAAAAAGATAATATTTATTTTAGAATAAATAGGTTGAAGAAAATATGTTTGCAGTTGAATTGCTTATATGTAATTTCTATTTAGTGTGGATTGTTATTAACTGGTATCATAGTTTTTTGATCCGGACCAGCCCGACGAGTCTACCTGAGACCAAGTCAACTCGGAGCTGGAACCAGAATCAATCCGGGTGTGCTATTTGGACCGGACAAATGCAACACACCTAGCAAGGGAGGAGCTCGGGTCAAAGGACCCGGTCAAAACCTAGTCAACCAGGCCTTGATTCGGTCGGGTCAACCCGATTGACCCGAATAAAACTATGTATTTATGTTTAGGGGATTTCACTTGGAAACGAAAATGTTCTATATAGTTAAATATTTATCATGAGATACATATTATTAACATTTTAATGTTCATATCTTATAAACAAATCATTTAATTTTGTTACTTTTATGTGTATTTATATGTCAAAAATACTCTATATATAATTTTTTAAATTTCAAAATGAATTATCCGATTGAGCAAGTGATCCGATGACCCGACGATTGAACCGGTGACTCGAACTCGGAAACCTGCCCGGGTAGATTAGCGGGCCGGGTTTAATGCGCTCAAAGCAAAATTATTAATTATTGTATCATTATTAATTATTATATAAGGCGCCTGACAATCAGCATGTGAATCGAATAATTAAGAGGAACGTGGATGTGAGATTAATGAATGATTAAATGCCCGCTGATACTTGGGGCAAAAGCCTGATTAATTAGAGTCCACATGTCATTAGGTTAGTGGTCATGGAATCGTCATGATTTGCATGTCATGATGATGCACCCATGACGAAATTGATAAATGGGCCCAACTGGGCCTGTTCAACGTAGTTTTAGACTTTGTGCTGTACCTATGATTCGACTCGACATACATACTAAAGTAGGCCCAGGATCATAAAGGCCTAACTTAGATTTTCAAAACCCCATAGAAACACAAAAGCCCATGTCTCCATCGTCTCTCGCAGAGCCTTTCCCCACCGCGTAGGAGCTGCAGCCGCTCGGCACCCCAAGGTTCGAATCCAAACGAGTTGCTTTACTTTTACATGGTCTGATATTTTACATCGTGGGCCTTTTTTTTTTTTGTTCTAATTTGTCAAAATGATTACCCGCCACATTTTCTGTGACTGTGTTCAGCTGTTACTGTTTTGGGTTTGTACTTTTTATGTAATTAGGAAAATATGTTCGACGTAAATGGCGAAATGTGTGTTCTTGTGAGCTATTACGAGCTCAGCGTGCTTTTGATTGAGCTTAACTGAGATATGAGATGCTTTCTGATCCATTTAGCTAGCTGAAGTTATGTATGTGATTCTATCTATGGTTATGACTGTATTTGAGCTGTGATTGGGCTATTTTGAGCCGCTTTTATATGTTTTTTTACTGAGATATGCATTATGTGGGCTGTCTAAATTAAATTTTCTTGTGGGATGGAACTTTACTTAGTTCTTTCTTTAAGGATCACCGAATCAAACGATATTTCTGTTCATAAAAAATATGGGTGTTCTTTATTTTGTTAATGTATTGTGAAACCTTATTTTGGATTTGCTGAAAGATTGTATTTTTCACTTGAAGTGGAGACCCCTTTTTCTTTTTCTTTTTCTTCTGTTTTTTTCCGGTTCTTTGTGTCCTTTTCTTAAGTGTGTTGAGAATTGAGGTAGGTGGAATTAAGATTAATTTGTGAATTTCTGAAGTAATATGAATCGAGTCTCACGTTTTTCCATATGATTTGGTGGCAAAAAATACATTCCATGTAGTCAATTATATCATGCTTGTCAACTCGAAGAATCGCCTAGCTTACCAACACTTTATTTGGGATCAATTGTACCCATGAGGATTAGGGTTCTTCTCGGCTCTGAGGTTATACTCTTTCATTTTCCCCTGAAATTCGAAAACCATAACCAGAGCGAATTGAACACAATCACAGAGCAGACGAACTTCTAAAACCCCTGTATTCGAAAATCAATGGAGGGACTGAGAAAAGGTGAAGCGAATTTAGTTGTGTATTTACACCCTTCAATGGTGTATTGCACGAGCGAAGCCATGCTCAGCGAGCTTAGCTCTTCGCTCTTCACGTAAGTTTTAATTCAAAATGGTTTACCGTACGAATTCAGTATGGAGCAGGAGTAGGGCTTGGCAGGTTTGCAGTTGTACGATTGTATCATGTATGATATTATGATCTATGTGCAATTCGTTTTCTTTTTGGGATATAAAACAGAAACCAAAGATTCGGTTTTACATTTCAATATTACCGAAAAGTTCGGGTTGGTTTGGTAATCCCATATTCGCTTCGGTTACCGAACCCAGCCCTACTTGAGTCTTCGTATTTATTTTTGTATGTGATGTGATGTGACTATTAACCTCTCACTCACTGAGCTAATGGGGTGCTTATAGTCAAATTTTATGTGTATTGGATTTTAGCTGGAAAGTATAATGTATGTAATAGTACTGTTGGTAGTGGTGTCCTCTTGCTCTCTAGATGATTTTCTTGGTCATCTTTCAGCTCTTGACGTCTGTTCTTACATGTACTTGTAGTTATGGTGGGTCTTTCTCTTGGAGAGCAAAAATTTTATAAAGGGTGGAATTGCGCAGGATTTGCGTACTGATGGTCGTAAGCGATTAACTTTCCGGCCCATCTCTGTGGAAACTGGTGTCATTCCTCAGGTATAATAAATGGCTCACTTCGCATTTGGTAGATTTTATGCTTATTAATATATTCTTGTGATGAATCCGAAAAGGCAAGTGGCTCAGCAAGAGTGAAGCTTGGGGCAACAGACGTTATTGCAAGTGTGAAGGTATCGTCTTTCTCCGTCAAACAATAAATGTGCAACTCGCTCTGAAATTTGGCTGGGTTGCATTTGTTTTTCTTGGTAATCTGGGAACAATTTCTTTTTGGTCTCATAACATTTTTTGGGTTTTTTGGAACTTGGACCAACATTTTATGTATTTCCCTTGCAGGCTGAGCTTGGAAAGCCAAGTGCATCTCATCCTGATAAAGGGAAAGTTTCTATATATGTAGATTGCAGCCCGACGGCTGAGCCAACTTTTGAGGTTGGATAAGCTTTGGTTTCATTGTGCAAATGAATGTGTGATTTGTACATAAATTTATTAGTTGAATTTACGTGAAATACTGGATTGGCTGAGCAGGATGGCAAACTATGAATTGTTCTCAGTTTTTTAGGTAATTTTATTTAAAAACTTTTCTTCAGTTGAGATGTGTTGACAACTATGGAAGTCGTGATTGATTATTAAA